ACTGCAGAACTGTATCATGTTTGTGGGAGTGGTGGGGAAAAAAGAGAGTCCCCGAGATAGGACAGACTCTTCTGCCGGGCTGAATGTGTAGTTGGATAGATTGACGATATTGCTGAGTGAGTTAAGGGTACCACTATTGTGGTCCCATGTGGCAGGTAGGAGTTTAGACAGCTTGCAGTCCTACAGTAGAGAAGTGAAGTGTGTAATGTAAATCTCCCATCTTATTTTAGTAAAGTCCAGCCATGTGGAAGTTTGTACGGATGGTTAGTTTTTTAAGGAAAGTCTCCAGATTTGAAAGCTCTTTTTTGATATTTTTTCTGTTTGCTGTACAGGATGCTGATCAGGTAGTTCCTCAGTTTCTTTGAGAGTGTATGGCATAATCTGTCACCACAGCCTGTGCAGTATGTCGATTGCAATGGATTTTTCACCTTCAGTCCATTTGGTATGATGTCCATCCATTTGCATTTGGAGAGAAAGATTATATCTGTCTGTACTTGTGCAAGTTTCTTCATGAGGTTGATGGATTTCCAATCCATACGACTAAATGCAGTGCCTTGCATGGTGTCAAGTATCAGAGGGGTAGCTGTGTTAGTCTTGCCCACAGACATCTCGCCAACCTGAAGCAAATTCTCACCGGCAACTATACACCGAATCACTGTAACACTGACTCAAGAACCAACCCTGCAACAAACCTCAGTGCCAACTCTGCCCACATATCTACACCAGTGACGCCATCACAGGACATAACCAGATCAGCCACACTATCACGGGTTCATACACCTGCACATCTACCAATGTAATATACGCTATCATGTGCCAGCAATGACCTTCTGCTATATATATCAGCCATACTGGACAGTCCCTATGTAAAAAAATAGAGACACACAAATCAGATATCAGGAATGGAAATATACAAAAACCTGTAGGAAAACACTTCAATCTCCCTGGACGCACAGTAGCAGATTTAAAAGTAGCCATCCGGCAGCAAAAAAAACTTCAAGACCAGACTTCAAAGAGAAACTGCTGAGCTATAGTTCATCTGCAAATTTGACACCATCAGTTTAGGATTGAACAAAGACTGTGAATGGCTAGCCAACTACAAAAACAGTTTCTCCTCTCTTGGTTTTCACACCTCCACATCAGCTGCTAGAAGTGGGCCTCATCCTCCCTGACTGAATTGACCTTGTTATCTCTAGCCTTGCTCTTGATTGGTACTCTTTTCTTATGCCTGTATATTTATACCTGCCCCTGGAATTTCCACTACATGCATCTGACAAAGTGGGTCTTTGCCCACGAAAGCTTATGCTCCAATAAATCTGTTAGTCTATAAGGTGCCACGGGACTCCTCATCACTTTTGCAGATTCAGACTAACACAGCTACCACTCTGATATTCTTCCTTCGACTTTCCTTGCTCTCTCATGAAATGAGGGTTACAGGAGTCAGAGTAGAAGTCCTCCACCCCGAAATTATTTTGCAATAATGGCTTGCTGTGTACCCACACACTATGTTATTTCAAAATAACATCAGTTATTCCAAAATAATGCTGCAGTGTAGACATGCCCTGACAGATGAGTAAATTAAGGTACAGAAAGATATAAGGTACCAATCTTGTAAGCACTTTTATGCCTACTGAGTTTTATATCTATTTAGCCCTCCTCATCACAGCATCTGATCACCTTACTATTAATAATGAATTTTATCCTCTGAGGTAAGAAGATATCGATCCCATTTTACAGATCACTAATTGAGGTGTGGGGTGGATTAAGCATCTGACCCAAGAACTTAAGCCAGTTTTTCTGAGGCCCAGTCCACTAACTTACACACTAGACCAAACATCTTCCCCCAGTCAGGTGTGAAGATCAGGACTAAACGACCTGCCCAAAGTCAGACAGCAAATCTATTACATGACTGGGGCCAGAACCAGATGTCCTGCCCTAACCTAACAGAAAGCATAGGCAGGAAAGAAGTGGAATACAGAATGGACACCTTTAAGAAAAAAAAAAACCTGTATAAGCAAACTTTTTCTGCCCTTAAACTTATTAGCCTAGGTGATAAAGTTTGAACAAAAGTTTAGCATCAGCCAAGGTAGTATTCAAAATCTCTCTGGGTATGTCTACACTACCCCGCTAGTTCGAACTAGGGGGGTAATGTAGGCATACCGCACTTGCAAATGAAGCCCGGGATTTGAATTTCCCGGGCTTCATTTGCATAAACCGGGCACCGCTATTTTTAAATCCCGGCTAGTTCGAACCCCGTGAAGCCCAGTTCGAACTACCTAGTTCGTGCCACGTGTAGCCGCGCGGCACGGGGTTCGGAACTGGCCAGGATTTAAAATGGCGGCACCCGGCTTATGCAAATGAAGCCCGGGAAATTCAAATCCCAGGGCTTCATTTGCAAAGGCGGTATGCCTACATTCGGTAGTGTAGACATACCCTCTCTCTCTCTCTCTCTCTCACACACACACACACACACACACACACAAACACACACAGTGCTTTGAAGTGATTTAGGGGGAAATATCCTCTTTCATTGGCTCCTGCTAGCCTGGAGGAAAACAAGGAAAAACGGTAAAAGAGAGATTATTCTGAAAAATTGAAAATCCTATTACAGGTGGAATAGAGCCAAGTGGTACTCTGGTATGAGTGAACTAGGAATCCTAGAAATGATTGTGTATTGAATGAAAGGGAAAACTGAGAACTTTGAAGAAATGTGGTCTTTGTTCTTAGAGTTACATGATTAATTAAGCATAAGACATATTTCAAAAATGTTTATTCTTTTATTTGTAATTCCCAAGAGTTACTTAATATAATTTGACTTAATAATGTCTACAGTTTGGGTTGCAATTCATCTAAGTGTATATTTTGTGCCTTTTTCCCTCACCCATTGCTTTTATGAAATACAAGTAGTTAGAAAGAAAAAGAATTTTATATACCATGCTTTGCGCTCAGCCGTCACTTCTTGGACAATAACTAGAACAGAAAAAATATACTAGAGAGGCTTCATGTTTCCAAAGACAATAACTGGCAGGGCATTTTCAAAAGTAGGGTGCTATAGACCATGTTAGCATGTTCTTTTCCCTCCTTGCTTCCCCTCCATGACCAGTCAAGAAACAACATGAATTTTGTTTCACCTCTTTCTTTTCCCCCTCCTCCATACCAGGCCTGCGATGCTGCTTGACAGCTGATGAAACAACACTGATTACATCCCAAATGAGTTATTTTTTCCCCTTCAAAAATTATTCCCTTTACTGAACAGCTGGCCTGAAAGGTTTTAAATGTTTACCAGGTGGGCTGGGTAAGTCAATTAAGCATCAATAGAAAGGAAAGACAAGTTTATGAGTAAGGCCCTAGATTAGAACCACTATTCCCTGTAAGCTGTCTGCCTGTGTGGCCACTCAGGAAAGATTCTAATGCTGCCCAGCTGATGAATGTTTCTTTTGGTGGTGCACATTCACTCATGCCTGGGTGCACATAACAGTATTTATTCTCCACATGAATGGATAAAATCTGCACATGGAAATGAATAGAGGGAACATTGACTGAGACTCAGAAAATTGAAGTTCAAATTCCCAGTTCTGCCTCAGACTTTCTGCCCTTGGGTAAGTCACTCAAACTCTCTGTGCCTTAGCTCCCCATCTGTAAAATAACCTCTTACCTTTTTCCTTCAGCCTCTGATCTTTTCAGAGGCAGTCTCATTCGGGTATGGACCGTTTCTTGCTATGGGTACATCCCTATTTCAAGCTGGAGTAAATGCCAGTTCAAGGAGACATACTTGCGCTATCTCTGACAGACCTCTAGCACACTATAAATAGCTAGCATGCTAAAATCTGATTCAAGTAAGTTCCCACTCAAGATGCTAAGTAAGTATGTTGCAGTTAGCCCCTCTCACTGCCTCATCACACCAGCTCAATTAGGGTTAACCTGTGGGCTTGTTTTCACTTACCTGGAAATTGATGCCCCGGAAATCAATCTCCCAGGTTTCAATTTAGAAGGTCTAGTAAGGACCTGATAAATCAAATGCTAATGGGACCCGTCAACCCTGGTATTCCACCCAGTCATGAGGAGTAAGGAAAGTCCACGGATGAGTTTCTTCCATCAACCTCCCGCAGTGGGGACTCTGTGTATCTTAGGTTGACTTTCTCATGTAGTTTAGACCAGGCCTTATTAAGTCTCCTCTAGCAGGAGTCTATATCTCCAGCTCCAGGTATAGATGTGCTCTTTGTGGATATGTCTACACTTGCACTATGTTTGGAGAGAGGAATGCAAATGAAGACATTCGAAATTACAAATGAAGCTGGGATTTAATAGTGCTATTTCAAAATAACAGACGCTGTTAAGACGCGGTTATTTCGAGAGAAAATCCTTCTCTCGAAATAACCCTTATTCCTCATACAATGAGGTTTACCAGTTATTTTACCTGTTATTTCGAAATAGCGCTATTTCGCTATTTCGAAATAACGTCATAACGCGAATATGCAAATGGAGCGTGGGATATTTAAATCCTGGCTTCCTTTGCAATTTCGAATGTCTTCATTCGCATTCCTCTCTCCGAAGAGGGTGCAAGTGTAGACATACCCTGTGTCAGTACAATGTTTCCCCAATTTTGGCTGTGGTTTATAGCCTGTTGTAAGGTAGATGCTTCTTCATAAAAATAAATAACATGAATTAGACCACTGAGTGCTCAGATGTGTCAGTATTCAGCTCCAAACTGCTGGAGAATTAGGTATTCTGCCCTAACTGCAACAAACCTTATCTTTCCCAAATCCCAGTACAATGAAGAAAAAGGCAGTGGTGTCTACTGGTTAGAACAAGGGATTTATTTATTCATTTATTTATTTATTTTCTTCCTCACATCTGCCTCTTTCTTACATGTGCCTTTGGACAAATCATTGAACTTATTCATCTGTAAATAGAAATAATAAACAAACATTGATTTGATATGAGGGTTTATGAAGATGTGTTTACTCAAGGTATAAAGCTAATTGAGAAAAATATCGAGGGACTATAACTTACCATTTTTATTGAAAGAGATATATGAATCATTACATACATTCTGAACATCTTAAGTGAAAATCTATCCACGGTCGTCATGAATTAAATGCAAAAGTGCAACTTTATAGTGTAAAAGGGAAATGACTTAAGACATTAGAAAGAAATGAATAATTGCTTTCACTGAAATGTAACCACCATAATGCATTCTTTGTATATTCAACTTGATTGGTTAACTACCTCTGGCTGTTCTCTGCCAGTCAGGAGCTCTTTTACTGACTCTCTCTGTGAGTCTTGAACAAATTATTTACTCTGTGTGCCTCAGTTTCCCCACCTACAAAAGAGGTTAATACAAAGAGTCAGCATAAAGAACTGAAGAATGAGGAGCAAGCAGATAATATCTAAGTCATGTCAATGCAGTTAAGATCACAAGAAATTTACATTTGCTAGACAACAATATTTAGAACATGCAATAATATTAATATTGTACAACTTTTAGAACATGCAATATTTAGAATATGCAAAAATAGAACATGTAATATTTACTCTAATGATAATGAAAGTCAAACAATGGGAAAGGTGGTCCATTTAAAGAGTATTCCTGGGAAGCGATGTAACTCTAAAGCTTTACAGACTGAATTAGGTGTAATCCTTATGGGACCACTAACAGCTCATAAATAACTTTTAATGAGATTTCCAGCAACTAAAATAGTACATGGGGGAAGGGGGAGGGGAACGAGAGAGAGAGAGAGAGAAAATATCTAATTTTAAAAATAGAAAGTTAAAACCATATACACTTCTTTTAACAATGTACACCAAAAGGGAAAAGAGGAATATTTCAATAAACAACAATTAGGACCATAAATATTTAATTAACTGATAGGGAAAGTGAAAGGTTAGCACAGGTCACTGCAAATACATCGACATTGACCGCTAATCTATGGAAATTTATATAGCTAAATCTAAAGCATGTTTCAGAGTTAAGCAGGGAAATAAATCAAGGTTTGCAAATGTCATTTAAGTTTTCACCTGTCCCAGGATTCAAAATTATTGGCTTCACAATGAAAAGCATATGCTGCGCCCCTCGTCCAGGGAATAGTAATGAAGTGAGGCAGACACTCCCCAGTCCTACACTACCAGCTCTCCCCTCTTTATTTCCCATCGAGTAAAATAATTACTGGATCCTCGAGGGAGCATTTCTCTCAGTCGGCCGATAACTGCTGCCATGTTGGCTCGTCATGAGCTGCTCTTCTTCCTTGTGGGACTATGATTTGATTTATGAGAAAATAGTTGGCAAATTGCGATGTCCATCTTGATGGATGACATCATTTGGGCCATTTTGCTGATCGTGTATGACTAACCTTTTTTTTTTTTTTGGTCCTGTTGCAATTGATCAAATGCTGCACAACAGCTGAATGTGAGGACGGGAAAAAACAGAGGTGACAATTACCTTTGCTGTGAAGGAACAGGAATGGCAATTCCAGATTCTTTTTTGGGTTCAGTTGGAACCAAACTGCGGGGAAATAAAAAAAATTTATCGACTGAAAATAACACAATGCAAATACAAAAAGGATTACATTTAAACACCTTAGCCCATCACATTAAAATTAAAAAGAATAAGCCCCCTCTCCCCCCCATATAATGGTTTGTGTTGAACCTTTCAAGTCTAATCCCTTCAGCACTTGAGTTATATTACCACTTATAATGGTTAACGGCTACTGAGTATTATACATAAATTGTAGCTAGATAGAAGTGTGCAGAGCCAGATCCTGAAATCTGGGGAGCTGTGTGATTGATGATCTAGCAAGCAGTTAAAAAGACATTGGCTTGAGTCCTGTAAGGTATTCTGTGTAGGTGTCTCCCTGCCTCTGAGTAGTTATTTGCAGGATCAAAGGTATAAACATAGATCTATATGCACTGACTGGATACACATAAACATCACTTCATATTAGTGCCGGTCCCAATGTCCTTTCTCCAGCCAATCGCCCTTTGACTTCCAGCAAGTCATAGCTCATCAGATGCATTTGTTTTAGCACCTGGGATCCTTTCCTAGTTCCATCTTAAGGCTTCAATGCAGCAGAGAAGTTAAACACACACTTAACGGTAGGCATGTTTACATTGATCACTATGCAGAAAAACACTTCAGCTCATGTTTAATTTTCAAGTCAATGACTTAAGCATGTGTCTACAGTTGAAAAGTGCTTTCGTGTTTTGCTGAATGGCTTTGGATTCTCTCCTGCATTGAGGGAGGTGGGGCCCTGCAAATGGCTTCCTGATAGTCAAAGGACCGGCCTGTGACAGAACCTAGAGCTGCTGCTGGACATACCTCCGTTCTGCCACTGGGTTAGGTTCCGTAGAGCAGCGGTTTTCAAACTTTTTTTTTCTTGTGACCCAGTTGAAGAAAACCGTTGATGCCCGCGACCCAACGTAATGTGACTGGAGTGTGGGATCTGGGGTGGGGATGTTGATCAGAACTTTGGGGGGGGGGTCAGGGATAGGGCAGGAGGAGCTTGCCTTGAGCAGCTCCCAGTCAGCAGCAGCAGGTTCCCAGACAATGGGAGTGTGGAATTAGTGCGTGGAGCACAGGCAGTGCATGGAGCCCTGTGTGCTCTCTTCCCCTCCCCCCTAGGAACCAGGCCTGCTGTGCAGGATAGGTAGGTAGCCTGCCTTAGCACCCCCACTGGTCACTGGATTCCCCTGCAGCAACGCGACCTAGTGCCTGACAGTCCACGGCCCAGTACTGTGTCGCAACACTGCTTGAGAGGACCACCCACCTACAGAGGATAAGCACTGTTAACTCTGACACTTCTCTTTCCTACTCCCAACCTGAACATGCCAGGAAGTAGCAGGGCAGAACTCCATAATCCAGATGCACTATAAATGTGGCAATAGAATATGCTCCTCGCCACGGCAATGCTTTTTTGGCCATTCACGCACAATTTCCCATTTGTGCCACCTCACACCACCAAGAGCGGATGTTAAGAGGCGGGTAATTGAGTAATCATGTAGTTGATATAAATTGATAGAGTCAGCAGCGAGGATGGGGGGAGGGAAACAGCACTACAGAGGCAGTTGTGGGAGGGAACTGGCTTTTAAGTGCCCCCAGCACCAGTTCCTGTTCCCCCCATCTTGCTGGCTCTGATACAGAGGCAGCAAGGGGGGAGGGAAATTCGAGTAGTCAATTTGACTACTCTTTTTCATCCCTACCACAAAGGGGTCATAACTGCACTTCAGAATTTGGCCTGTTATAAATAAAATTATTACTATGTGTAAAAAAAACAGAAAGTCTTTCATTTTTTTTCTAGAACTTAATATCCTAGAAAGATTCCTTTCAAACTAAATGTTTCATAAAACAAATGGCATTGTCACTACCTCCTCACAATGCTCTTTTTCTGTTACTTAAATCAGCAGGTAATTCGTTCTAGCCAACTGATGCTTGAAAAGAGGCTGTCTTACCTACACTAGGCTGTAGGTTGCATACTTCAATGACATGTCAGCAAATGTGTTTTAAAAAATGGTAAGCAAATGGTGAATAGCTAGTATCACCAAACTCTTCCCCCAGCCAGAGACAACTTGAGGTTTTTTGGGAAGTGTTTCTGAGCAAATGTTTACCTATAGACTTCAACAAAGAGTTGATAAAAATGTCGTCATCATGTCTACATGTCCTTCTGAGGATGTTACTATATAAAACAGCCATTCTTCAAATATATTCCACAGATATGGCTTACCAAGTAGGTCAAAAGTGAGGTATCTCAGGGGAGAGAGAAAATGTTTCTGTTGTTACAGCATGGTGATTTTTAAAAGGACATTAAGGAAGTCAAAAATGATTTTTTTATATTTTATTACTTTTGTTCTTAATATTTTAGCTTGCCTTTTAAAAAGCCATTCTCTCGCTCTCCCCTGTGGGTTGGGGGGTTATGTCTCCTAATTTATGAACATGTGATTCTTTTTGTCTTTTCCGTTTGACCACGTTTTCCGATTTTGGTGCAAGCAGCAATACATAAAAATTTACAAGGTTTATGTTTGCTTTATGTTTCCAAAACGCATGCATCTGCTTTTCTCATAAGCTAACTGCTGCACCTTGATAGACTCTCTGAGCTTTTTAATTCCTGGTAAAACACTTTAGGCTCATGTCAATGTTTCATTGTTTTAATGTATAGTCACAGCCTGGTGCTGGGGGAGATTTTCCTCAGATGCTGCAGTTCTTCAGCCAACTTTATCATGTTGAAATTATAATTTTCAAAGGAGTTTCTTTTTTTTCCTCTCCAAGCAATAATCTAAAGTACATAACTTTATTGCTATCTGACCCCTGCCAAAAGCACACTTTTATGATACCACTGATCCAGCAGTCCCACAGAATTATGGGACATAGCGAGAGAAGAGTGTTTCATATAAACTGTTTTCCCCTTAAACATAACAATGGTCAGCTTGAAATACAATAGTCTGTCAGAGGAGCTCTTTGTCCCTCAAACAGTCAAATTTGGCAAAGTTAGTACCTTCTCCTGAAACAACAGATTGGCTCAACATCTCTGACATCATCATGACACGTTTATATTAGAATGTGGGGAAAACATTTGGAAAAGATACAGAACTCCCGCCACCTTCCCCCCCAAGAGTCCATACATTTTGCAGTGGTTCATGCCAGTTACATAGGCCCAGTGGTCACCAACCGGTAGATCAGGATCCACTGGTAGATCTTGGAGTCTCTGACAGGGATCCTGACTGGTCTGGCCTGGAAGCTATCAAGTGCTGGCACTTCAGTTGCCCCTCCGCCCACTGTCATGCTACTCCTGCCCTCTGCCTTAGAGCTGCCCCCTGGAGCCTCCTGCTTGCTGTGCAGGATGTGGGAGGGAGACGAAGGGGGGTGCTGATGTCAAGGTATCCCTTCTCTCCCCATTTCTGTACCCTATCTGTACACAGAGCGAAGGGGAGGGAAAGAACTTAGCAGTACAAATCTCTGTCACTGTCACACACTGTGTCATTCTCACAAACACCCCCTGTCCTTCATTCTCATCTCCCACCCCAACACATATGGGGGGTTGTTGTTACTTCTTATTCTACTTGCCGAGGGTGTTGTTTTTGGTTTTTGACTGGTCTGTGCATTTCATCCTTTTCATTTCTCTCTTATGCTTCAATTTAATTTGTTGAGTAGTGAGTTCTAAAATTCGTAACCTGCCTTGGTTGGAGTAATTATGCCAATTGTTATTGCTGCTCCTGGAAGTGGCTGGCATGTCCCAGCAGCCCCTGAGAGAGGCAGAGCAGGGGGTCTCCACATGCTGTCCTTGCCTGCCGATGCCGGTCCTGCAGCTCCTGTTGATCAAGAACGGGGAACTGTGGGCTCAGTGCCTGTAGATATGGGACAGTACATGGTGCCATGGAGCCATTGCTGTACACGTCAGCTGCTTTCAGGAGTGGTACAAGGCCAGGAGAATGCCTTAACACCACTGCTCCACCACCTGGAAACCATCTCAGTTAAATGGTGCCCAGCCAAAGCCTCCTTCCTGAACCCCTGTCCCAGCCCTGAACCTCCTCCTGCACCCAACCTCCTGCCCCATATGAGAGTCCCCCTGCACCCAAACTCCTTCCCAGAGCTTGCACCCTGAACCCACTCCTGGACCTCAATCCCCCACCCTGGGCTAAGCATGGAGCCCCTCCCACACTCCAAACCCCTTGGCCCAAGACCAAAGCCTGAACCCCAACCTGCTACCCCATCCTGGTGAAAACGAGGTTTGGGGAGGAAGGGGGATGGAGTGAGCCTGGTGAGGCCTTGAAGAAGGGGTAGAGCAGAGGCAGGGCCTCAGAAAAGGGGTGGGAAGGAAGTGGGGCCAGGGTATTTGGGTTTGAGGTAGATCTTACCTTGCACTTAAATCGAAAAAGTGATCTTGTGGTTAGAAAGGTTGGAGACCACGGCCCTAGATACGTTATCAAGAAAGACTCAATGGCCCAGATTCGCCACGGCAGCGCAATCCACTCAGTACAAAGGGGGACCACAAAGCAGCTAGTTACAGCTCCCTGTTGCTATGACCTATCTGCATGTGCCCCGGTGTAAGCTAGAGCAGTGCTGGGGCTGCTCTAGCCATCACTACCTGGCTTTGGTTCCCACGAGGCCGTAGGGCAATTGCAGACTGCTGAAGCACACTCTGTTCCAGCTACACCCCCATATAGATTTTCCTTTGTTGCATTTTTTTTATTTTGTTTTTTTGCATGTGATCCAAGCCAAGCATGTGGAGGCAGCACATCCTCCTCCATCCCACTTACCATGGCCTTTGTCCCTCTGTGCTACCCATGGAAGGTATTAGCCTCCCCAGATCTATTATCTCCCAAGGCTCTCCTTGCCCCTACTCAGGCTTGTCCCCGTACAGTCCTCCAAGCCAGCCTGCTTAGGAGTGCAAAGAGTCCTTCCCCAGGGAGCAGGGAGGGAGGAGAAGCCCCTGTGTGATTGCTGTCTTGCCAGTGCTCCACGAAAACAGCCTCCCCCCACAGCTTACCAAAAGCCGGCCCTCTGGACGGAGG